TACACGATACCCAAGCGAAACTAGAAATTGAAAACACGAATTTCTCGTGTGATATTTTTTGCACCGGCACTGGAGCCGGTAGTCGAGCAGACTAGGAGAATCTAATGATACTCTAATGACTGACCGCAACTGAAGCTTAAAATATCGCTGAATTTTAATTAATTAAAGAGAGCTGCGTTGACATGAGACTGATCAGCTAAATATAGGCATAGAGTAAAATTGGCAGCGTAACCAGCGTTGTGTAAAAAATAAAATATTGAATCCCCACTAAGCGCGTCATTCAATTCAATTCAGTTGCAACCATTTTCGACTGACATCACCCGCTGGCGCTTTTTGACCACGATGTTTGCGTCTCATGCTCCAGTTCACACGGACAATCATTTGCATTTCATGAGTTCATTTCACTCTTCCACAATCTCTCAAATTTGCTTCGAAAAAATTAAGATCACGCGCCAAATTTGCAGGCTCTTGCGGGTCTCAAGTGGGGACGAGACCGTCAGTTGAGCTGTATCTGCCGTTAGTCGTGAGCGGCTTGAAACTCACCTATTACACCAGTGTCTTATAATAATAATAGTTTATTAGAACTCTCTTGCAGTTGCAAAAAACTGAATTAACGAGTATTTTACAATGGATAGAAATAAGTTATAAAATAGTACATTTGGACTCTTCTTGACAATCTTGTACTTAAAGTTGCTAGTTGTGCAAAATTCAGGGCTTCTGCATATGATTCACTCTCCGAGAAAATTATCTTTAGTGCTCGCTTTTGCACCGATCGCCTGCCTCCTCCGCAGGCTCCTCTATATAGATCAAATTTAAATATCAGTAATATATAGATCAGCGCGTGCACTGCAAGCCCGATAAAGACGCACGCCTTTAGGCACACGCCCGCAACTAAGGACGAGCGCGCAAAGGAAGATGGGAAGACGATCCGCAACTCCTTCCCTTCCCATCTTTCCGCGCGCCCCCATTAATTTTCGTTTCTTCCTAATTAATTATTTGATAGCAAGCGACTGGGGACGAGGCAGACCGATCGCGACTCAATTTCCTTCGATAGATAACCGATTCCGGAATGTTTTGCCAAATAGGAATGGCGTACTCAAGTACCGGTCTTACTGTGCACAGGTACACTTTCAGTAAATTCTTTTAGTCAACCCCAGCTCTTCGCAGGACTCTTAAAGGGTATAGTTTTTTGTTAGCCTTCTTAACAATATATTCAATAAGAGGATTCCATTTTAGGTCGCTACTCAAAATGACACCCAAAGATTTATACGTTATCACACGTTCAATAATATCAGGGCTGCAAATAAACTTCAGTGACTTGACAGGACATTTGTCCGATCACTTTTAATTTTGGTCGGACATAACTTGAATTTGGTCGGGCAAAAACCAACACCACTAAATTTGGTCGGACATATATAGGTCACAAGATATATATAAGTCACGAGACAAGTATGTATAGCCATTCCGGTGTCATAGGAGATTCGCCCCCCCTCTCGAAAGGGGGGCGATATTCCTAGGATATTCGCCCCCGTTTAGGAATTTCGCCCCCCCCC